ATCTTTCTTCTATCATTGACAGTCCCTCTAGGTTGTGGGCTGCTTGCCTGTGTTCCTGAGAAGCATCTACGGTACCAGTCTATAGAGTGTGTTTTCTTTAGTGAATTACCGGTATGTTTACCGATAATAAACTTGCACTGTTTTATGTATATGTTTGATTACATACAGCCTTGTGACAGTTTTCCTGCATGTCATAAGCATTTGAATATAAATTAAAATGTTAAAATCAAATCTGATATTGTTTTACCTTTTATTTGGTGTGTGGAAGGTGTGCGGGAGAGGGGGTAGTCTTATACGGCGAGTATATAACAAACTCTGTATTTTGAGTGGAAATGTTAGGGGGTCGTCTTATACGCCCAGTCGTCTTATACGCTGGCAAATACGGTACATTATGAGCCAGTGCTGAGTGAATGGAATTCAGGTAGACTCACCTTCTGGGGAAAGAGGAGGTGGAGGGCAAAGGGAGCAGAAGGACCAGGGTGAAGTGCACTCTACAGAAGCTGCCGTCTCCCCTATTAACTTGTCTATTGATAGAGACAGTTGCAAGGAGAGTCTGAGGGTTGACAGAAATAGGATAATTCTGTAGATGTGTCAGAGAGGAGTTGCTTGCCTTGCAGTGATGAAAGTGGAATCTGTCATTAGTGCTGTGGTTTATGCCTAAGCAGAGAGATAATTTGGGGAAAGGCAATCTAATTACATATTATTGTATTGTCAACCTTTCCTAGTTTTGACTTATTCTTTTGATCCTGCAGACAGACTCAGTTCGTCTCCATTGTACAGAAAAATTCCTTCATAAGCTATAAATTTATGCCCCTTTTCTATAATTTTATAGTCTCTAAGAGTTCACATCCTCCTCCTACTGTCTTACTTTTCTTTGAACTTCTTATCCCCTTATAATCATGTTTCTACTTTCACCACTCCATTAAGACTGATTTCACTGAAAACATTTAGAAACAAAGCACAAGACTCCCAGTGGTCATATCCCAAGGACATTTTTGTGCCTCACACCACCACACCATCTGCAGCATCTGGCTGAGAATCATATCCTCCTTATGAAATTCTCTTCCATCTCATAGGCTGTTCTATTACTCTCTTTGTTCTCTTTTGTTCAACACATTTATATATTTATTCACTCTATGTATTAGTTTCCTAAGTTGCCATTACAAAGTACTGCAAAATGGGTGGCTTAAAGAACAGAAATTTATTGTCTTATAGTTCTGGAGGCTGGAAGTCTATTTTTTTATTTAAAAATTTTCTAACTTAAATAATTTTCAATTTTCAATTATAGTTGCCATATACTATATTAGTTTCAGGTGTATGCCCAGTGATTAGACATTATATAGCTTACTAAGTGTTTATCCTGATAAATCTAGTTAGTCCCATCTGACAGCATACATAGTTATAATACTAGAGGGCCAGTGCATGAATTCGTGCACCAGTGGAGTCCGTTGGCCTGGCCTATGGGGTCAGACCAAAACAGGCTCTCCCACATCTCCCAAGGGGTCCCAGATTGGGATAGGGTGGAGGCAAGGCCGAGGGATCCCACTGGTGCATGATCGGGGCTGGGGAGAGATGAAGGAGGTTGGCCAGCTGGGAAGGGACTGCAGGAGGGCTCTAGGGCGTGTCTGGCCCGTCTTGCTCAGTCCCAATTGGCGGGACCTATCGGCGGATTCCAGCAGCAAGCTAACCTACCGGTCAGAGTGTCTGTCCCCTGATGGTCAGTTCATGTCATAGCCACTGGTTGACCAGCTGACTGTCTGCTTCCTGGTGTCAGTGAACATCATAGAGAGCAGTTGAGCGGCCTTAGCATTTATTAGCATATTACACTTTGATTGGTTGAACGGGTGACCGGACACTTAGCATATTAGGCTTTTATTTTATAGGATTATTGACTGTATTCCCTGTACTGAATTTTAGACCTCCATGACTATTCTGTAACATCCATTTTGTACTTCTTAATCCCTTCACCTTTTTCACCCATCCCCCCAAAGCCCCTCCCATCTGGCAACCTTCAAAATGTTCTCTCCATCTATGAGTCTATTTCTGTTCTGCTTCTTTGGTTTTGAAGATTCATTTGTTGCTATGTATTTATTGCCATTTTGTTCATATTTTAAATCTATTTTTTCTTCTTAAAGAAGACCATTTACCATCCTATATAATAAAGAGGTAATATGCAAATTGACCCTCACTCTATCAAGCAGTCACAAGATGGCTGCACCCACAGCGTAGGCAGAGTTCCTGTAACGAGCCGTAATGAGCGATCAGCAGGGACCTGAGGCTTCATGGCATTGGGCCGGGGTGGGGGACCTGAGGCTGCATCCCCACCCCGGTTCTGGGCTTGGGGACCTCAGGTCACACCCCCCGACATTGGGCCAGGGCACATCAGGCCATGCCTCCTGCCCCGGTACCGGGCTGGGTGACCTGAGGGTGTGCCAGGGGCCCTGAGGCTGCGCCCTCCCCCACCTGGTGGGGCTTGACAGGGGTGGGGCTGGCTAGGACTGGCTCTCGCCCAATGGAGGTGGGGCCAGCTGGGTTTGGGTCTCGAGTGATTTTGAGGTGCATGCAGGTGGGCAGGGACTTGACTCTGGGTTCTGTGGTGTGCCCCAGACTCTGACAGGAAGAAGATTTTCATATATATTTTACTAATTTTCTTTTATCTCTGACACTTCTATTATAGAAAAAGAGCAAATAGCAATATTAAAATATTTTCTCTAATTCCCTTTCAATGTGCATGAATTTTGTGCACCAGGCCACTACTTTTATATAATACTGGTTTGGTGATGATGAACTCTTTTGCCTTCACATTGTCCTCCCTCTAAAGCATAGAGGTTAGGTCTACAGCATATTTTTGGTGGGGAATAAAACAATTCAACCCATAGTATTCAGCAAACTCGTTTTGGTTGTCTGTTATTTGCCTGATATTGAGCAGGGAGTTGGGAGTTTGGGTATAGAATGATCCAGCACCTATCTTTAGGGGAATTCAGAGCCTATTTTGGAGACAAACCCAGTTCTTGAGCTTGGGCCGCACAATATGGTGACTTAATATAACATAGTTGATGGTTTCACAGCCCAACCCTGGAGATTCCCCAGAAGTAAAAGAACATGTTGGGGGTCTAAATAATGAAAGCAAAGAGTGTGAGAGACACTGAAAGAGGGAGTATGATTTTGACACAAAGTATAGGAAATGACCAATAAAGATAAAGACAGGTCAGGTGCCATAGTCAGAGCCCTAGTTGTGCACTTTTCTCTCTATCACACTTCCTGGAATGGCTAGTGGGTACTTTTTGTTCACCATAGTAGGATAGGAAAACATTTCAACACCACCCCAGTTTGCAGAGTGAAGGGGATTATGGGATAACACCATAAGGGTAGGGATGGGAGCAGAGAAACACCTATGTAGGCTGATTGGCCCACTTTCAGGCATTTTCTTATTTTACCTCCCACACCTTCAGTTCTAGGCAGTGATAGCTGAATGATAAAAGCTTTTAGAGAAGAGCAGTGCTTGGAGTAGTTTCCTCGGGTGCAGGATTACCTGATAAGCAGAAAGCACTCGGGGTGATCAAATCCAGACTGAACACATCACCAATCAAGATGGCTGATATCTCTAAGGGAGGAAAGTCACAGGTGAAGCAATCAAGTGATTAATAGTCCAACCAAGAAAAAAGGTAAATAATGAGCATCCTATACAGAACCTGAATGAATAGATCAAGAATTTAAAATATATGCAATAATTATCTTCAAGAAGATAATAAATGGTACTGTAATATGAAGCAGGGATAAGCATGTCTGCTTGTGGAAGGATCTTGGGAATGAAAAATTTAAACATGATAGATGTAACTACAGAATGCCATATCAAAGTAAAAAAGCCACAAATTTGATGTAAAGCCCCATTTGATTCTTACAAGAAAAGAATTAAGTGGCAAAAGTGAAAAATAAAGTGAGATTTCAATACAATATCTATCTAAACTAAAAGCCCACATAGTCATAAAATAAGAGTATATGTTTTATAGTAATATAAACATATAAAGTAATATATCACACACAGTAAGTGACTATTGGGCTGTTGGTGCGTATATAAGTGAGGGCTCAGGAAAGAAGGTAAAACATTGAAAAGAGGGGAACTCAACTATGTACCTTGAAACAAAACATTTCTCTTACCTCTGCAACCAAGCCTTTTTAGATTTCTGCCCTGGTTCCTTTTCCTCTTACCATCCCTGAAATATTGATGTTCTAAATCATTGACTCTTTTCTCTTGTTGCTTGGTGAGCAATTTCACCATACCTACGACATCAACAATAATCTGTTGCCCAATAAGCATCAGCTTCCTCCTGTTTCCTCATCTCTGGTCTGTAATTCCAACTGTTGACTAGATTTCTCTACACTATATCCCTAAATGCACCAAGCACACTTCTGAGCTCCTGGGTCTCCCATAGTTCATGGTCTATAGGAATGGTGGCCAAATGGTGGTTTCCCATCTCCTAGAGTTGACTGTTGCCTCAAATGCAGTACCTGCAGATGAAACCATATGAGAGAAAGGGAGGTGCAATACTCCCAGTTCAAACTTTCTCTGTTTTGGAAAACAATTAGTTTTGAGACTTCCTGTTGATTGTCATGGGGTTAAAGGATGAACTGTTGGAAATATGTCTTTGGGGGCTCTGTAGCAATGTCCTCAGAGTATTGTTGCAGATTGTCTTAGAACTGGTTTATTGCATGTTTGGTATAATAGGCTTGAATACATATGTGCATAAACATTTAAAGTTGGAATAAATGTTAGCTGTCAAGAATGTTGTGGTTATCAAACTCTTCTGAGCCTAATGCTTTCCTAGGGAAGCCTGCCCACCTCACCTCAACTAAAGGAGCTGTGGTTAAGAGTGAAGTGGTGAGAGCACGGACCAAGGAATTGGATCCTATACCAGACCCACCATGTATGGCTATGTGACCCTGGGAAGATTCTTAAGCTCTCTGTGCTTTTCTTTTCTCTGTAAAATAGAATTTATAACCAGACTCACCTCATAGGATTTTATGAAGATTATAATGAAGCATTTAGAACATGAAGCATTTAGAACCAAGACTCCTACAGAATCCATGCTCAGTGAGCACTCTTATTGTTCCTGTTATGATTTATTTCAGATAATGATACTGGGGTAAGATTTGATTTGAAAAAGAGTTTTTAAAAAAATGTTTAGAATTTCTACTTTTTAGTTCTTTCCATAATTTCATGGATGGGAGGCTGTGACTCATCTATAATCATGCAGTTAGTAGTAGAGTGATAATAAGGTCTTGGGACCCCTTAGTCTCAACACAGTGCTCTGCTCCCCACCCTCCTCCCAAATCAGATACTTCAGACATCTTAGCTTCCTTCTTGTATTAATCATCATTCCTTGGGTTACAAGTGAGGGTAAATAATTTAAGTTGGCTTAAACAGAATAAGAATTATCTAGCCTTGGTCACCTCTGATCCCCTTTCCAGAGAAAGCTCTTCTCACCTAAGTAGAGCAACAATTCAATGACTCACTCTCATGCTCTTCTTGGTCCAGTGTGGGTGTGTGTGTACATGACTGAATTAATTCTTGTGGCCAAGGGGACCAAATGTTCTGACTGGCCAGGAATGGGTGAAGTGCTCAGTCTTGGAGCTGGAGATGAATGGGTTAGTCCTTGACACATACTACAGTGGTGTTGAATGCAAACGTGGATGCTCCCTAAAGGAAAACTGAGAAAAGAGGAATGATTCTTGGGAAGGCAAAAACAATAAATGTTATTTCTAAAAATTGACTTAATCCCCAAAGAACGGAATACCTCAAAGTAATCAGTCCTATAATTGAGAAGAGCTGGGCCATTTCAGTTTATATTATTAGACAGTTCACTGCTGGTTACATCCAAGTTAACCCCTTCCTTTGCTCCCCTCAGTGGCTGCCATGTCCTTCTTGCCAACATGGCTGCTGATTTCTTGTCTTTTTTCTTTTAACCCAAAATGGAGATTACCTGGAGGGCACTTTTCTAAAAAATCACCTAAGCTGCAAAATGGACCGGGAAGGTATGCTATGTAACATTTTAGGTGATTTTATATTGTCAGCAATTTTCCCCAAGCCTGTCAGTATTTAGCTGTAATTTGAGTCTGAATGTTGTACCTTTGAGATCTTCTGGGAATAGTGCATGTCCCCCTGTGACTGCTAAGTAGAGTGGAGTGAGCTATGGGGATTTGAGGCCCCAGTGTGCTCAGGTGGCCCTTTTCATTCCTAGTGCAATTCTAACTAAGACACTGATCTCTAAGTCCCTAAATAACTCAACCTCAGTCTTGGAAATTGTACTTCTCCCCAGGAGCCACCATCACAATTAGCATGACTCCAAGCGCTCTAGCTACAGTTTGGAAATTCAGCCTTCGGGGAAAGAGAAGCAGAACTTTCCCGTGGAAGGTCCTCATTTGTAGAATTTTCTCTGCCTGCCCTGATTGCAAAACCCCAGTGAGAAAAACCTTCTTTTTATTATGGCGAGTTGCTGATGTTAATATATGGCAGCCAATGTTGTTTGCAATCTATTTAAATTAAACATTATTTTGCCCCGGTTCCCTGCAGAGTCTGTCTCACACAAAAAAGCATAGTTTCATAAATCTAATAAACAACTGAACAAATACATGCCTTTGCACATTGATGCCACTTGGAATCTCTGTATTTTCCTGTTTGTCCTATATGATTTTGAAGACGCCTATTTGTTCTTATTTGTGCATGAGTAATTCTTCCAGTTTCCTTGGAAGTGAAGCCAACAGCAGACATTGGCTGCTTCTGTGCACATCTCTCTCTCTATATATATGTGCACAGGGATCTATAAATATGAATGCTCCTACTTTTAGAGTCTGAAAATAAAACAATCAAATATTTTTTTGAATGAAATTGGTCTTGCTTTTCATCTATACCAGCTTTCTGAAGAAGAACATTTTAATAAAACCACTGTAACAATCAGGTGTTTTTTTTGAACATCAGTATAATTAGCCCTTTCAAGAAGAGAACAAAACCATATTGGAAACCTCAATTTAAAATAGAGTGAAGCCAAATACCTAATTATAGTGATGTCTTTTCCCCCCTCTTGCTTTGATTTCCTAGCAAGACATTATTTTATGCCTTTGTTCTCCCTTCAATGACCATAATAGTTTTGGTCTAAATTTTGTCAAAAAAACTATTATGGTGAAAACCTCCTCTCTTGTATTTCTTGTTCTTTGGAGGAGAGTCTTAGAAATAACCAAACTGGTGGTCTGCAAAAAGGGCTACTCCTAGAAAGGTAGGATTCCTTCCTCAGCCAACCTTCACACAAACATTTCTGTCTTCCCCTTCCTCTGCATCCTCAAGACCCTTGAATTTCTCCTTCCCTGTCTTCAATCCCTTTCTGTCAAGGGAAGGATTATATTAGGGTGGACTTAGAGGCACCTGGCAATGCTTATAAAAAAAGCTCCTTGGAAGGTCTAAGCTGGAACCTCCTGGAGTTGTCTTTTAAGCTTTGTCTATGAAATAAAGCTTTTTTTGTCCCCAGTGAAAGGGATCCCTCTGTGAACGGGATGGGGAGCTATTTGTGTTTTGGGAATCTTTTCCCGTGGGAGGGGAACTAGAAGAATAACAAAAGCATTATAAATACCACTGTTGAAAGCTGGGATTTCCAAGTGACTGCCCCAGGGCTTTCTGACCATAGCTCTGGGGGTTAGGACTTAAAACACCTCACTTTGCACCAGACTTAATGAGGACCCTGAAGGAGGAGTTGTTTTCTCTTCACTTCCTGATTTGTCCCTCAAGCATGAAGGAAGCTGAGCAATAAAGATCCTTGATACTCCAGTCCTATTTCAGCATCACAGTAGCTGAAATACACCTGATTCTATTAGCATGTGGGTTTTTACTCATTACCACAGTTTCCTAATGAAGGCTAATATTATACAGATCATGGGAATTATAGAGGAAAAGCAACCAGTGGGAACATTTGCACTGGAATGTGATTTCTAGAAGACCAAATCCCTTTGTTATTATTTTTCTCAAATATGTGACAATATTGCAAAATTTTAAATCAAATTATATCTAAAACATGGGTTGAAATGCAGAGTAACATCAGTAGTAATTATCTTTCCTCTGGAAATGATAATAGGAGTCAATAAACCTTTCCAAATTGGCAGCGTTTGAGGCACTTAGAATAAATCTGGAATAATTTATCATGGCTTACCAGCTTCAGTATTGGGTACTGCCTAACTCTTAACCTCTGCTTTGTTCTTACATTCTAGTTACCATGGACTTCTTTCAGCACCTGAGTCCACCTCAATTATTCTTCCTTTTGGGGGCCCATATGTACTGTTTCCTTAGGCTAAAACACTCTCCCCCACTGTTCACTGATAACCCTCTGCTCACTTTTCAGTTTAAACATTATGTCTTCTCCTGGACCCCAGAAAGGGTTGGCTCCCTTGTTATTTATGCCTTTAATATTTTGTCCAACTTTTGACCTGCTTCCCATATTTATAATTATTTTTTAATATCTTGCTTTGTCATTAGAATATTAGCTTCTTAATGTTATGGGCATTGGGGTTCTTGGGATCCCCAAGATAGAAATTGAGAGGAAACCCTAGAGAAATTTCCAG